TGGAAGAACGTGGCGTGGCATATGGAACAACGTACAAAATGCCGAGGCTCATAGCCACGGCAACTCCAAACTTTTCCCGCTTCTTCATCTGGAGTTTCCAGAGGATTACCCATGGAAGCAAAGCGAGAATAAAGTCGGTTGCGGCCGAATATGCTACGAGAATGAGAACCATTAGTGGGAGCAGCGAGGAAGAAGGCAAGTTTTCATATGCAAATGACACTTACAACCTATGAATAGAGACAGGTCGTCAAACGCCTTGGCCGACCAACAGTTGGAAGGAATACTGGGATTCCAAAGGTGGCGAGGGTCCTCGCAGCGAGTAAAGACAAAAATGGAAATCAGCATGTGCAAAATGTTCATGGAAATGATGATGAACCAAAGTAACACCATGACCCAGTGCTGTGCTGCCACCCGGATCAAAGTCAAGGCGAAGCTGGTTTTCCCAAAGGCACACGACATAATGACTAGCGGCTGTGACACAAAGCTCAGCAGCGCAACATCCATTGCATCCTTTGGGTTTTGGGCAACATATTCAAGATGCCGGCCCAGCCCCTTATCTGCGGCTACGGTAAGGACGGCAGCATACGCAATCAAGAGAATCTTTGGAGGAAACCGTCAGGAGAATGCCTTTCCGAGGGGTCAAAAGTTGAATTGGTTGAAAAAAAAAGAGGCTCGACATACCACGGCCGCCACCATGAAAGAGTCATCAACGCCAAATACTCTCCTTAGACATATCCGCGTGTAGCAGCGCATGAGGACAAACAAGGTCGGCAGCCCGGCAGCAACCCAAACGATTACCTTTAGGCTTCCGGACTTGCTTTGTGCTGGGTAGTCCGCGTCCGCCGCTGGCATCTCTGCTCTTTGAGCCATCATCGACGCCATCATTTGACTGTACAGAGTCACTGTGTCGGTAGGTCGGCCAAGCCATCAAGGCCTTGTTTGAAGATGCCACCCCGACTCTATCTATAAGCGATATTGGGGCCCCATCTCTAGAAGCCATGCCTTCTCTTGGGTTGCACAGGAAAATCTACCGGCCCTTGATACTTGGACAAGCTTGCATTTGCAAATCGGACCAAGGCATGCAACTACTAGTACTCCGTACCTCGTAGCCAACCTCTGCCGTGCACCAAGGCCCTCCGCGCAGATCAACGGCCCATATTCGCTTGCCCCTGGTTACACTGTTACACAGCACCCCGAGGCGGAGCAGAGAGAAGCTCGGGAGGGAAAAGACGGCGCCGCCGTTCCAGACGGAAGAGTCCACCTGCAGGGTAGTATTGTATATCACTACTCCGTACTCTGTACGAAAAAGTAGTCTCTGCTTCACCAGAGAGACTCGGCTGTTCCAGGTGCTATACAGTTGTACTCTGCATTGTTGGGGATGGGCTGCGGAGGCGAATTCGTCGACGGTGGCACGTCCACAGCATGACATGTGCAAGTTGGCATAGAAGACAGGTCATTTTCCACCCCCGTTGTCAAAGACATGCCGGACCCTGGGATTGGAGCTGCCTCGACAGCTAATCAGCAAGGGAAGGACAAGGTTGCCTCGGAAGATTCGTATGTAAATTGCTTTTGACAGCGGAACCTCATCCGGCACCCAGAAGCCACTCTTGGGCCTCCACCATATCCACCGCGTTGGATCTTGACTCTTGGCTGGGCAGGGTCTGGGCTGAGCTGAGCCTCGGGCGCTGATTTCCATTCCATCTTGATGCATGCAATATCCAATCCATGGCTCTGGATTGTGGGCGGGAAAGCCCTCTACCCTGCCCACTTTCTGAGCAACCACGGAAGTGGTTGCGAACGAGGAGAAAAAAAAAAGTTGGACATGTCTTCGCGACTCGTTCATTGGTCCGAGGATTCGTCGTTGGTTTTGCGGGCATCCTGAGGATTCTTGAATCTTGACCACAGTCATGAGCCAGCCGGGGTAGACGGTGGCACCCAGTCCCGAATTTCGAATGACACGGGCAACGCCGTGGGAGCAAGGACACGCTTGACCCGGTGAGGTCTTTACATAACTCGAGCTACATGATGAGATACGGGGACATGTTACGGAGTAGCATGTAGCTACTTGGCCGTGGGCAACTTCAAGACTGTCTGTACATGGAGTCGAGCGCACAACTGCGCGCGCACGGTCGCCCGCTGTCAGTGTCTCTGCCCGAGATCCCAACCCGTGTCTGGGAGTAACTACTACTAGTACTACGTATTACCAGATTTCCGAACGCCATCACGGCCATCAAGTGGGACTTGGAGACGGGAGTCAACAAGCCACAGAGCGGTGTTGGCACGTGGCGGCGCCGACTGGGTCATCGGAATCAGCATCCGTGTACGGAGGAGGTGTACACTAGCATCGGCTTGATCACGCTGCTGCATGATTGTATACTAGCTTACGATGCTGTTCAAGAGGTATAGTTGAGATGTGGCATGTGATCCCTGAGCATGGATCTAGCAACTCGGTGTGCCACAACGTCTCTTCTGTCACAAGTGCACCAAACCAATGTCTCAGCAGGCCCCGATATTGACCGGCAAGAGCAGAGCAGCGTACGGAGTACGGAGTGAGTCCTCGTGTTGATCACCCCTCTTTGTCAACTCCATCCGTGTTGCCGTGATCTAGATAGAAGCCGGATGAGCCTTGACCGCTCAACGCCAACAAGGTCTTTTCAGTGGCTCAAATGTTTAACGGCTGAGGCGGGCTCTAGTTCCCGTCGAATAGTTTGGCGGAACTTCACTTTTCGGACAGGCGACAGCATGGCTAGCAAGGGTTGTCCTTGGCCGGGTGAGCCGTCCCGTCCCCCCCACCACAATCCATGTGTCAATAGTGTTGCTGATCAATTTGATAGTGATAGTTGAAGGGAAAATATATTGTATCCTGAGTATTGAAAATGGAGCAAAATACGACTGCTCGTAGCAGTCTGTTGTTGCGGCCCAAGACAAGTACTCTACCCATGCTATGAAACGACAAAGTTGTAACAAGTCACCCAGCAGCGGTTATTCCGTCTGATAAATCTTACTCAATACAAATGCGCTTAATCTCCCATGATGCCACATTATCTGGCAGAATGTCTGCAGAGCGCACCAGAGTGACTGCCCTCCTAACCGCTGTGTTGGGATCGACATGGACCTCAGTAGCGCACTGAACTTGATAACTGCGACACGGAGTTTGACAACGATGAGATTACCGCTCCATCTGTCGAGCAGGAGCTGATGCAAAACGAGAAGCTCACTGCGGCGGGTCATAAAATGCGAGAAAACTATCTAGCCGTGGGAGAACCCGCACGCTATAGCCGCACAACATGTTCTCGTCGGACCTACATTCTCCACGATAAGTCTTGGTTTAGCAAAGACAATGTTGCAGAGTGCTGGGCTTGCAAGCTAGGGTGTGCCTCAAATGGGTAATACTGTTCCAGGAGGGCTGGTTCCCGGGTATACAACAGCCCATCACTGCCATGTCCAAGCTTGTTCATGGATCGCCGACTCTCAGCAAGCTTACACTCAACCTAATACGAAACTAATCTACCGGATAGCTCATAATGGTTTCGACAAAGGCATGTCGCCTGTGATGTATTGTCAATTCTAGATCTATAGTTGCCAACGCACTCAGGCATGACAGTTCGGAAGTCGGGGAGCTCTTGGATCTGGCCGGACATTTGCTCCCAGAGTTGGATAATATTTTTTAGGACTCACTGCTTGGTGGCAATTGCTCAGCCGCCTCTCCTCTGTCTCCAGGCGTCCATGGCCAAAGATCACTTGTCACCCGGGCAGTTTTTCTCTACAGACCAGAGCATCAAGAAAGGTACCAGAGCTGTTGAGGCTCCTTTCAAAACGCTCCAAGAATTCATTCATATCTAGTTTCATCCGCTCAGGCAACCATTACAGCGAGTTGAGATGGCGCCAATCAGCGTAACCTTCCATGAGGTCGACTCAAAGAGCTGTCTAGTAATGCGGTGCCTCGATGCTGGACGGCACCTTTAAAACTCGTAGGGTGGACATCTCTCCGATGGTTGCTCCGCGAATCTTCATTGTTTGCAAGGCCGGACGTCATTGCCAGATTGCGAATTCATCACACTTGATGATATCCCAAGGAACCTTCCAGCGGTTAGCTAATCGCTCTTAGCAAAGCTAGAAGACGACACTTGCTGCAATCTTTAGGCAAAAACATTCCATATTATAGACGCCGGATAAGCCATAGAATGGAGGATAACCTGTCATGTGTAGCTCGGAAGGCTGTCATATTATAAATAAGTCATGTCAGCCCAGTTTATTGGTTCAATGTTTCTTAAGTCGGACCGACCTGCGGGGCACATCTCTTTGTCTTTTGTGTGTCCGGTAGTCAATACACAATTGACCGACGTCAGACAACAGCTGTGGCACACCAAAAGCAAGCTGAGTTTGTACACAGACTTTGAGCAAATCATCAGCTTGAGCCTGGTTCAGCGACGAGGCCAAGGCAGCTGAAAGACTTCTGCTATTGTTTGAATTGAGCCTGAAAAGTCGATATTTCCTCACTAGCCACAGGTCAGAAAAGAATGAGCGCAACTTATACTCCGAAGTCCGTAGCCTTCGGAATGTTTCCTTATCCCAAGTGGGCGCCCGAGGAATACCGGCCAGCACAGAGACAGCTTCTATCAACAAGTCCCGTCGGTTCTGCAGTGCTCTCTAGCAGGCCCGAGACCTGTTGAAACCAACAGACGGGTTGCATTGTTGGTGTTACGCGCCGCAATTAGTCAATCAGGTTAGAATGTCTCCAACAGGGTGGGCAACCCCTCCAAAGTACGAGTAGGGAAAAGCGGTTTCCCAGATTCACATGGCTGCAAGACCTGTCATATCGGAAAGTGGGTAAGGTATAATGTTTTGTTCGGACAGTTTGTGTCTTTCCCCGCCGCCTCGTTGTTTGAGTCAACCTGATCAGACGGAATCATGCAAATCCAGGACACCTTGGCCTGCTATTACACGTGTAGTCTAAATGCAGGACGGAGAACCAGTGTGGCCGTCAGCATTCATCCGCCATGTCGATTCCGACCAATATCATGGTTCAACTCGTTTCTATACTCTTGCTCTATGTCATTGGTAAATTGATCTGGCGGGCTTTCTTCTCGCCTCTTGGAACATTCCCGGGTCCATTCGCATCCAAGTTCACCGACACATGGAGGGCTTTTCTAACAACCCGCGGTAATGTGGACGCGGTTACCCGAGGATGGCATCGGAAATGGGGCCAGGCCGTTCGGATTGGACCCAATACGATTAGTTTAAGTGATGCCAAGTTGATCAAAGAGGTGTATGCCAGCACAGCTAAGAACGCATGGAAAAAGGTTAGAATAAAAAGAAGAAAAAAAGAAACAAACCATGAGCTTACTGTTGTGGCTAGAGCAAAATGTACAGTGTCAACGATGTGGTTGTCAACGGCCAGAGAATCTCCAACATCTTCAACACACACGATGAGGAGTTTCACAGAACATATGCCCGGCCAATTGCCGGGTTTTGGACCTTGAACAAGATCCTCGAGCTTGAGCCGCTGATGGACGAAACCATTCAGAAGCTTGTCCATAAACTCGGGAACAAGTTCGCCGAAGACCCTAACCCGGATACGGTCTGCATGATGGAGGATTGGCTTACATACTGTGAGAACAGCCCAAACTTGAGGGTGTCGTGGTATTTCACAAGACGCTGACTTGGCTTATCAGTTGCTTGGGATTTTGCCGCCAATGTTACCTTTGGGGAGCACTACGGCTTCATCGAGGAAGAAAGAGATGTCCAAGGCATGATTAAGGAATCGACAGACGGCCTTCGCTACTTTGCGCCGGTAAGTAAGATGCCGGAAAATACAAGTGTTGTTCAATAGTATAGCTCATTGATTCACTGCAACGGGGTAGGTGTCTCAAGCGCCTTGGCTCGATAACTGGCTCGACAAGAATCCCTTCTACCGAATCGGTCCAAAGCCATTAGTCAACGGTCTACTGTACACGGTTGCCCGCCTGGCTGACTACCAAAAGAGACTTGCTGAAGGAAGCCTGGCACGAGCCAAGGTAGACACATTTATAGACAAGTACCACGGGCTCAGAGACGTCCATCCCGATGTTGCGGACAGCAATCAACTAGTGAACTGGCTGATGCTCAACGTTTTGGCGGGAGGCGATTCGACGGCTGGAGCTCTGAGGCCTATCGTGTACCATCTTGGTAAATGCCCCGAAGCGCAAACGAGGCTGCAAAGCGAGCTGAAAACGGCCCGGCTCTCTCTGCCTGCCCAGTGGAAGGACATCCACAGGCTCCCTTATCTAGATGCCGTCATCCGGGAGGCGGCGCGTTTGAATCCAGCCGTGGGCTTGATGTTTGAGCGAGAGGTGCCCGCGGCCGGTTTCCAACTTCCAGATGGCCGCTTCATCCCGGCCGGCACAAACGTCGGCATCAACCCGGCCGTTGTGACGAGGGATGTCGGCGTTTTCGGGGAACACGTCGACCGGTTTGTCCCGGAACGCTGGCTACAAAGGCGCGACGAGGGCAGCGACCAGTTCATCTGTCGTCGGCGACAAATGGAGGAAGCTGGGGATCTCATGTTCGGTGCAGGCAGCCGCGCCTGTACGGGGAAGCATTTCGCCAAGGTGGAAATGTACAAGCTCATGGCCACGTTGTACAGCATGTTCCATGTAAGTGTTACCCGCGACATGTCTCGCCGTGCCGCTACCCGAGCACGCACGCATGCATGCACAATACTTGTTGCCTCCCACTGTGACTGCAAAGATGAACGAGGCTTGCTAACCCGGTCCGAAAACCAAAAGATCCGGCTGCCCGACCCGAATCACGAGTGGAACTATTGCAATGCATGGTTCATGTACCACAGTAATATCCCAATGCGAATCACGCGACTCGAGCACGACTAGAGCGATGTATGTAGATGAAGAATTTCGTCAACTGTATCTTGAATGGCAGCTGTCTCGACGAGAGTCCTTGGGTGAACCTTGTATGAGGTATCGCGGTCCATAGTCTGAGGCTTCGGCATGGGAGGATGTGTAACCTACCAACAGCAGACTGAGGAGAGATAGCAAAGCGGCATGTAATACCTCGACAGAGACGACGCCCGAGACTGGATATAGTACCAAATTCCCTTCGCCGATATGTTCTCAATTCCGGGATGGATTTGTCGGGTTACGCAGAGACCCATGTGCTTGTCTAGTTAGTTGTCACCAACCATCCCCCCTTAAGCTCCCTGAGAGCAATTTCCGTATCACAAAGAGAAACCGACTCTTTAACAAGCACGCCTCTTATGGCTACTCCGCAAACTGCGTGCTCGAAACACCCTCAGCCAACCGCGACAGGTGGAGCAAGACGTGTCTGCGCCGAGGGAGCCGCCGTCGGATCCGCGGACGGCACAGATTTGCCGCGAAAGGCGTTGAATCGGAGGTTCCATGATTCGTCGATCTAGTTAGGTCTGGTTCATGGGAACGCCAGCCCAGCCACTTACAGCGGGTTGTATTCTGCAACGCTTGATGTCCGTGGAGGTCGGAACATTGAAACCAACACTAGAGGCTAGGCAATGACGCAGCTGAGTTGCCGCAAGCATTTGTCTTTGCACTTGCCCTTTTAAACATGTATAAAGGCGCAACCGTATTTTATTAGCCAAGCTTCCCTCTTTATGCCACATGGTACTACCGCAGGGGCGGATCGGGTTCCTCCGTGTGTGAGCGGAGCACTTGGCCTGGTATGACCGAGAGCGGCTGGATTACCCTCTCAAGGCAATTACTGTACAATTCCATCTAGAAGCCGTTGGAATACTCACGAGTCACCTCCCGAGGCTCTGTCCCGCGAGAGTTGCCGCGGCGCCTCTGTCGAAGCGTCGTCTCTGTCGAAGCGTCGTCGCTTTTACAACAGCAGGTAGGTAGGAAAAAATTGATCAGAGGTCGGAGTTTTACTTTGCAATTACCTTTTCAGACTAGCCTTGATAGTCACGCCTTCCAGGCCCCTCTAGGGTCTGGGTGGCTACTGCCGACTCACGAGCCCTCCATGTCAACTGGTCCCTAAACTCCCTCGGATTACTGTCGCGTCATTGCTACAAATCCGCCAGCAATAAAACGGACATGTCAGCAACATCACCTTTTTTCGCGTGATACTTCACTCTGCCCTTGTGGATCGAGGCTTTTCCGAGTGCGGAAAGTCTGGGCGATTGTCATGACTCTGGTGTTGCAATTAAGCTTCTCCACCAAGACTACTCAACAATGGCGAATTTTCGTCCCCTTCGCCGCCACTCAACGGCCTATCCGCAACTGACAACAGATCCATCTGAGCGTACCGAGTTATCCGAGTGGCCTCTCTAGCCCAAAACTCTCTAGCCCAAAAGCGCCATGTCGGGAACCTTTGCTCAGTCGTGGACGCCGATCTTGTTCCGATGCCACTTATCGTGATCAACGTACGGCGTGTTGTAGATAACGGTCGTGGGGGTAGAGGCAGCAGCGTTACATTCATCACGGGACATTTCGTCATGTAGGATTTCCTTTTAATCTAGCCCACGCCCTGCTCGTGTTTCTGACCGCCCATGTGCAAGTCTTCTAGATCCCCAGAATCCTTGTGTTGAGGTCCAACATCCGAGACGAGGGCTCTCCCCAGGACCCTGCCAGCCCAATTGAGAGGAGCGTATAGACTCGTGCTGCCCAGATCCAGAGACAATGTCCGTGCCGCCGGGCTTGATCAGCGCCGAGGGCGACCCTCGTCTGTCTGTCGCCGAAAAACCGCCCCAGGATGTCGTTCATCAGCCCATCCACGGCAACGATTCGACCATCACCTTTGAAGAGTTCATGTACTGGGCGGAACGAACCCGTGCCGACGAAGCCCTCGCCAACAAAGCCTTGCTTGACAAGCGCGGGCCCCGGACTGTCAAGAACACGCTTCGGAGTCGCTTCTCCAAGGGCCACCAGACCGACCCTGCCACGTCGGTAGCCGATGTATACTCCAGCGACGAGGAAATCATCACGGGCATCTCAGAAAGGGAATGGAAGCAAGCCAGCCGGGCCATCCGCACGGCTTCCTGGGGATCCATCTTCTACCTGATCACAACAGATGTACTGGGACCCTTCTCGACTCCCTGGGCCTTTGCGCAAATGGGCTACGGTCCTGGCGTGGCGCTGTACACTGTCTTTGGCGCAATGGCCGGGTAGTAAGTTTTGTTCTTCTTCTTCTTCCGTCTTTGCCAAGTATCCGTAAAATCAGAGTGTTGATTGATTTGGGTTGTCAGCTCGGGCTGGATTATATGGAAAGCCTTCCTCGGCCTCGATTCCGACCGCTACCCCATGCATACCTATGGCGACATCTACTTTCGCATCTTTGGGCGCATTCCCCAAACCCTTCTCAACATCATGCTTGGCCTGCAGCTGCTCCTGTCCGTGTGCAGTCTCATCCTGAGCAACGGACAGTCCATTTCGCAAATCTCGCAGGGCAACAACGGCTCGAATGGCAACGGGATATGCTTTGTAGCGTGCCTTATCATCTTCATGGCGGCCGGGTTTGTCCTGGGCCAGATTAGGACGCTGCAGCGATTTGGGTGGATTGCAAACTTTGCCGTCTGGATCAACGTTGCCATCATCTTCATTTGGTAAGTTTTCCCTTAGTTCCCGGCAGCAACCATTAGACTAAGACAATTCATCCAGCGTCGGTGTCGTCGTCCATTATCCCCCCAACTTCAAGGCAACGCAAGCTTCGTTTGGCGACAATTTTGGCCCTGGCCCGATTCGCACCTTTGCAGGCACTCCTCCCGACGGCTTCGCCAGCGGCGGCACCGGCTTCGTCGCCTCTCTCAACGGTCTCAACCAGGCCGTGTATTCCTACGGCGGGTGCATGACCTTTACGGCCTTCCTCGCCGAGATGCGCCACCCCATGGACTTTTGGAAGGGTCTTTTGTGTGGTCAGGTCTTCATTTACAGCCTGTACATGTTCTTTGGCATCTTTGTCTACTCGTACCAGGGCCAGTTCGCCTTCAATCCCGTCATGCAGGGCCTCTCGTCGTATGGCTTCCAGACCGCGACCAACGTCATGAACCTCGTCACTGGCCTCATTGCCGCTGGGCTGTACGGAAACATTGGACTCAAAGTCATTTATATCGAGGTCTTTGAGCGCCTATTCAAGTTCCCGCCTCTGACGGTGCGCAAGGGAAAGATTATGTGGGCGGTCACCGTCCCCGTGTACTGGTCCATTGCCTTTATTGTCGCCGCTGCCATCCCGCAGTTCTCCTATATTTCGGGGCTTATCGGCGCCTTTTTCGTGCTCAGTTTTAGCTATACCTTTCCCGCGCTAATGGCACTGGGTTTCTGGATTCACAAGGACGCCATGGTTCCCGAGCAGGAGAAGTTTGATCCCCAGACCCGAACGTACAATTACGTCGATACAGGACTTGTTCGATGGAAGAGGGGGTTTCTGAAGAGGCCGTTTTTCAACCTTTTTAACTTGGTTTACATGCTGGGCGGGCTGGCGACGACCGGTCTGGGCGTCTACTCGAGTATCGAGGGACTGATTGCGGCGTTTTCAGGGAGCAGCGTTGCATCGAGTTTCGGGTGCAGGAGTCCAGTGTAAGATACGGGATCGGATAGGAATTACAATCTGCGTCATAGAGTTGCGTTGCTATTGTATAGGAAATCATGGCAATTATGACCTCTCGTTACCCTCTGATATAAGTGTCCAGGCCGAGTTGGCTCTGCTGCATGATTCTGTTCCCAAGGCCGAGCACAAGGTACAGGCTCTATTTCCTTGAACAACATACAATTAGAGCACCATAACGGCGGCAGCAATTCCCAAAATGGGCGCAATGTTCACCTGTGCCGTTGGAGCCGCCGAGCCCCTCGACGTCCGGGTGCCGCTCGTGGTTGCGGCCGACCCCGACCCCGACCCCGACGCAGAAGCAGCGGTCGTCTCGGTGGCAGAAGAGCTGGAACCTGAGCTCGTTCCAGAAACTTTTGTATCTAGCGTCGTGGGCAAGCTCGCGCCGCTGGGGACCAACTCGGTAGTATAGAATCGATGACGGGCGGGAACGTGTGCAGTGGCGGTTGGCCGGTTGGCAGAGGAGATGCCTGTTGGGCCGTGGCGCCAAGGGCGAAAACTAGTAATAGTTGCTTATAGACTTTCATTTCGCAGTGAAAAGAATTGTCCAACTGGTCAATTTGTGTCGAGTGTTGGCCGCGGTTGTGGTTATGCAGTTGTGCGTACATGGGTAGCAGTTGATTGTGTAGGTAATTCTCGTACGAGGAATTCTCTAGTAGTCTGGCTTTTCGATATGGTCAATCAAAAACAAAGAACCTGATGCCGTCAACATGCTTTGACGTTGAGAGAAGCTCGAGTTGGATCATGTTCACCCGGCTGGTGTGGCTCGTTCACCAACCACAGATTGGTCAAGAAGCAAGGGGAATTTTTCTCTTTACCCATTGAGGAAGGACTTGCAGCTCTGAGCGGAAGCCATGCGGCACAGTGGCGTAGGTGGTGCATGGATTACAACAGGAAATAGTCAACTCGTCACTGGTCGGATTCGCATAGCGTATAGTTGGAGTGTGAAGTTGAAGAGCAATGTTGGGGCGGAATTTGGTTTGTTTGTTTTCAACTTTGTTTCCCCGTGTTGAAAGTCTTGGCAGTTTGACAATAGGAGCTGGAAATCAGTTGCAAGGTGTATGAATCCCCCGAAAACTGTCGCTGTGGTATATTACCTTGCTTGTAATTAATAAATTAAAAGAGGTTAATATGGATCCTACCTGCCGGATCATGGCCGATACCATTCTCTACAAAAGCATTCATTGAGTGCCGCGTCTATTATACAACAGATCCATCTACATTTACGCCTTGAATCATCATCTCAACTCTACCCCGTCAACGGCCCCGAAAAGCTACATCCGTGCTTGTTAGTCAATTT